GTACACCTAAATTAAAGACCCCACACAGGACCTTAGGTTTTTCTGATTAGTTTTTTTATTTATTATACTTTTTATGTGCTGAATGAGACAAAAGAGGGTGAATTTCATCTTGGACCCATTAGATTTTTTCATCGACCTCCACAAAATTCTTATCCCTAGGGCACATGTAAAAGTTTGGCACCATTCTGGATCTTTTCATGGGTAAACTCAGTTCAACCTATAATTAAACAGTCTCGTCGCGGGGAAATTCAATTAAACCTCAGAAAGTAGCAAACCATCTCCGAAAAATCCCAAACTAGGTGTTTCCTTCACACGTGGCACGTGCAAGCCTATGAAAAAATTTGAGATGAATACGACACCGGAATGCGTATGAACCACAGAAACCTTGATAACCTATGTGTATAGTCATGTTTCGATGAAAGGGCTCATGTACCTCTGTAAAGAATGCATATTCCGCCTATGTCGAAATGGCTTGAAATTTTTTTGGCAAGCATGTATATCCAAATTAAGGCCCCAAACAAGATCTGAGGTTTTTTTATCATTTTTTTATTAATATATTTCTCTCTGTGCTGAATGAGACAAAAGAGGGTGAATTACATCTTGGACCCAATTGATGTTAAGGTGGCATCGATGAATCTGCCTTGTCTGTACATGGCCTTTTTCTAGATGCGCACCGCAGCGGATGGCTCTATGAACCTCGTGGCATCTTCAATCTTCGGCGTTGCTCTATCTTCAGTAGCATTCTTCTAGTACCTCTTGTGTGCACCATTTTGGTGGACTACGACGCATAACGATATCTGTGGTTTGTTATGAGAGGAAGACATTATATCATGGCTGATAAGGCCTGGCTGAAACCAACATGCATAGAGAAGCTAGCTCTTGGCCGAGGTCCATTTTATAGGGGCTAGCAGGTATATTTTTATTTCTAAACTAAAGTTGTCGGAGTAGGTGGGAGCTATGTTCCAACTATTGTGGTCAGTGGGAGCAATGTTGGTATGTGAGGAGCATCTACACATCACTGACAGAAGCTATCATTGCTGATTTTAAAACCAAAACCGACAGTGAATGGGGCCTTCTGTGTCGGTTCGAGCAACCGACTGTGATAGAAGCTATCATTGCTGATTTTAAAACCAAAACTGGCAGTGAAGGGCCCTGCCGCCATCGCAGTCTTTTAGTAAAAAAATATAAAAAAAATCACCGCCGGTTTGGAGCCTGCCATCGCAGCGCTATCACGGTCGGTTTTAAAACCAAAAACGATAGTGAAGGGCCTTACCGCCATCGCAAACTTTTAGTAAAAAAATATAAAAAAATCACCGTCAGTTTGGAGCCTACCATCGCAGCGCTATCACTACCTGTTTTAAAACCAAAACCGTCAGTGAAGGGCCCTGCCGCCATCGCAACCTTTTAGTAAAAAAATAAAAAAAATCACTATCGGTTTGGAGCCTGCCATCGTAGCCTTTTTATAAAAAATATAAAAAAAAATTCCTGAGCCTAGGATTTGAACCCAGGTCTCGGGGTTCTTAGTTTGGAGCCTTAACCACTACACTAGAATAGGGCTACGTTAGAATTAGTTGTTCTTTTTCTTCTATCCTGTCGTAAAATGTGAATCCATTGATCTCATACCTTTGGTACTTAAGATATGTACTCAAAGGTCCCTTGGCTAAGGCATCCAGTTGATTACCCAATTTTATTCCAAGCAAGCGATGTCGCATCTAGTTGACAAATTCCTCCTTATGTTTTTTATCTAGCCAAGCCTGTGACTTGCTCGGATACAGAGTTTGTAGCGATTGCCCGTGCTCGTCAATGTATAGCATCATACCATCGGCTCGCTAGAGAACAACGAACTGTGCCTGTCTGAAAGAAACAAGGTCATCTACTGTAAAAGATTTCTCCCTGATCGTTCCTTTGCCATGTAGTCTTCCCTCATGACGAGATTCTGGAACTCCGACTCTTTTGATGTCCAGATAATATGTGCAGAACTCAATGGCCTCCTCCATTGACCATACTTCAACCATGCCCCCTTTTGGCCTGAATCTGTTCCTAACATACCTATTGAAAACTTTCATCAATCTTTCGAAAGGAAACATCTGATGCAGGTACGTTGGGCCAAGGGCTCTAATTTGGTCAACAAGATGAAGGAGCAGATGGAATGGGATATCAAAGTAAGTCGGCAGGAAATGTATCTCAAGCCTAACGAGAGTTGCGGCTATGTCCCGCTGCAGCTGCTCTAGCATGGACACATCAAATACATTTTTTTGAGATCGTGTTGAAGAACGAGCAAAGCTTTATGATTGGGGCACAGACCTTTGGGGGAGGATACCACGCAGGGCAACAGGGAGCAGCTGAGTCATAATGACATGATAATCATGGGCCTTCATAGGGCCATAGTTGAACTTGAGTTCTCTCATGTTCACTAGCCTCTTCGGGTTCGCATAGTAGCTCGTCGGGACTTTGAGTTCATTGAAGAAAGAAATAAGCGCACGTTTTTTTCCTTCTTCAATGTCCATGACGCAACCGGAAGTTCGAACTGACCATTCTCTAGCTCCATGGGATGCAGCTCCTTCCTGATTCCCAAGTGTTGCATGTCCAGGCGTGTGGCTAGTGAATCCTTCGATGTCTCCCCGATGTCCATCAAGGTGTTAAGAGTGTTAGCGCATACGTTTTTAGTGATGTGCATGGGATCAAGACAGTGGCATACACTCAGAAATGGCTAGTAATGTAGTTTCTAGAAAACCAATTTTTTCTTCCAAACGCTCCCAACAGGCGCTGCTACTGCATTGTCCGCCTTCCCAAGGACAATCTCCAGTTTGTTGAGTTCTCGAAGTATCGCAGGCCCGTCTCGATATTTTGGAGCTAAGCGTTTCTCAATAGTACCGTTAAAATCTTTTTTGTTCCTACGGTAATGGTGATCCTTAGGTAGGAACCTATGGTGTCCCATATAAACTATCTTTGAGTTATTTGGCAGATTTACTGCATCGGTGTCGTCCAAGCACTCGACACATCCAGTATAGCCTTTTGTCTTCTCTTCGGACAACGAACCTCGACCTGGCAGGTCGGTGATTGTAGCGATAAGTACTCCCTTGATCGTGGCATGTTCCTTTTTGTTTTCATCCCAAACATCCGGCACACCCTTTTCAAACATCTCCACTAGTTCATCGATCCCAGGTTGTCTTGGCCCTTGGATTAGTAGTGGCATTTGGATGTACGACCGCTTCATACAGACCTAAGGTGGAAGGTTGTATATACAAAGCGTCACTGGCCAGGTGCTATGATTGCTTCTATCCTGGTCGAAAGGATTCATCCCATCTGTGCTCAAAGCAAATCAAAGGAGCCTTATCCTCGGTGTCGTCAGCTAGCGTGTTCCTAAACACATTATTAACTGTGGCCATAGGTTCCGTATTGACACCGGGTTCCTCGTCAGCATCGTGGATGGCTACGTCAGGCATGTCCACATCATCATCGTTTTTCTACAGAACATTCACACCAACCTCGCCATGCATAGTTCATATCGTATAGTTTGGCATGAACCCCTGGTAATCAAGTGCGATCATATAGACTCAATTTGACAAAAGTTTTCCTTTGATTCTTGCAATCTTTGCACGGGCAGAAGATAGGGTTCACATTTCCAGCATGGGCTTTGGCATCGGTGATAAACTTGCTGACGCCATGCATGTACCGCTTGGCCGTTCAGGACAGATGCATCCACTCTCGATCCATCTCTGCACAAAAAAATACTGAGACAGTAATTACAAAGAATTAATAAGAAATCGAGCTTCATGAACAACAATTGTAGCTCGAAAGTACCATTTTTGGAAAACATTATTGTACACTAATTATTGGAAAATTAAAATTGGTTGCCCCGGCCCTATAAATTGAAAATCGTAGTAAAAAATAATTATTGCACAATAATGAAGAACAACTATTCTACTCTACTTCTAAGAACTAATTATAGTATCACATACTAACAATGATGATCTTGACCACCATGGAATAATTAGCTAGAAATTTAAATGTGTTTATAGACACCAACCTTTTGGATGATGGATTCACCACAATTTGAGCCTTGCACAAATATCCAATCGAAAAAGTGATCTCTAGAATGAAGAAAGAACTAGAATGAAAATCAAGCAATGTAGCCATCAAAACGAAGTTAATTAAGCAACCAAATCAAAGTAGTGGATGTTTGTTACTAACCTTAAAGAAAAAGATCAAGCAATTCTTCAAAATCCAAGTGCTAGCTTCATGGTGAAGAGCAGCCGCAACAATAGAGGAAAGAGCCCAAATGCGCGCCTCTGTTCTCGGGATGGAAGAGAGGAGTAAGAAGAGGACGGCTGCAGCCTTTTGTGTTGTAGGCTTATCACCGTCGGTTCTTGACTAGAACCGACAGTGATAGAGCCCAATCACTGTCGGTTCTTGGCTTGAACCGGCAGTGATAAGTGGCCGCCAAAACACTGCCGGTTCAAGCCACAAACCGACAGTGATGTGGTCCTTCACTGCCGGTTCTAGCCCAAACCCAATCATTTTCTTATTTTTAAGCTCATAACCAGTAGTGAAGGTGCATCACTGCCAGTTGTCACAAATCCGGCAGTGATGAGGCCGGCAGTGATGTGCAAATCTGGGGTAGTGATAGCTATTTTGGGTAGGCATCAGGAAACTTTTCCAACCATTGTACAAAGTCTATAAAATGAATTCAATAAGAATCATTCCCTGAATAAACTTGCATATATATAATTGAAGTGGTCAGGACATAATATAGGTTCAAGGGGTTAGAAGTCATGGTTCGAGTAACAATAATGTACCATGCACAATTTCAGCTTGAAAAAATGGTGCATGTATGTGGGGGGTGATGTGTCGCCGTCAAAGTTATATATACTTTGATTGAGATGCAATAATGTTTATGTAGATATATATAGATATTGATAGACCGGGAGAGCAAGGCTGAGAGAACCCATGACCTCAAGGTAAATTGCATTGCTTACATCAAAAACGCTTTTGCGCGCATGGAGTGCTTACCATCTAGTGCTCCACAACGAGCGGGGGTAGCGGAGGCGGACCTGTCCCTGACGTTGCCACGGGCGGTCTGCGGCAGCTCCGGCGACGACGACGTGGGCGGCAGGAACGTGCGTCGTCGTCTTTACCCCTGTCTTTTCTGCAACAAGACGTTCCTGAAGTCGCAGGCGCTCGGTGGCCACCAGAATGCTCACAAAAAGGAGCGAAGCACCAGCTGGAACCCCTACGTCTACGACGGCCAGCACGCCGGCACCATCGCTGAGCCGGCGTTTTCGTCGTCGATCGTCGACTGCAGCATCAGTAGCGCTGCCACCTTGTCCATTCCATCGCTGTCTCACGGTGGCAGCGCTATGGTCGCTGAGCCTGTGCTTGCCAGTGACCGTGACGGGAATGGCAGTGGCACCGCCGTCGTCCCAAACTTTCGAGCGAGAATGCTCCAAAGGCGGGCTGCTCTATTCGCACCGGTGAACATCAGGCCACTAGAGATGGACAGGGTGGTGGCTGATGGCACGCTGGCTGGTTGCGATGGCACGATCGACATGCTCAATTGTGTCAGGGCCTCCACTGCGCCTGTGGCCACCAGCGCCGACACTGCTGACCAGGGTGAGCATCTGGATCTCAACCTTGAGCTGAGACTCTAGGTAGCTGAAACCAAGTCACAGTGCCACTCTGGATGTGCACCTTTGTACCTGAGGTTCTGGTATCTCTCTTTGCCAGTTCCTCGGTCGCATAAGCATGGCTGAAATATATACCATTAGTTGTAGTTTAAGAAGTCTACAATGATCTCCGTGTCTTGCAATAGTATACAAGAGATATATAGATGTGTTATAAGTACATTTGTAAAGGGATATATATAGATGTGTTATAAGTACCTTCCGGAAAAAATTATCTACTAAGGGTGGCCCATGAGTGCTTATTTATCCAAGGATATATAGTGCTTCCTTCGGCCACACACGAGTGATCTTTTAGAAATTTCGACATAATCTCCAAAAGAAACTTTAACTAATAGGTTTTGCAAAATGTTTATAAAATATAGCAAGAATATACTTTTATTAAACTATATTTCAAGAGAAAAAAGACAAGTCATTATCAAATAATCAAACTCAACAAATACAAAATAACATGCAAGCTACCATTGAATATATATGTCCCTTATTGGTGACTAGAGGGAGTATATATAAAAGGTCTAGCTTTTGATATATGTACCATTGTATCGTCATGGATTTATCATCGAGTTGTGCTTCTTTATGTTGCATTCTTGAGTATCTTGAGTTTGACTAACTATATATAAAATATATCAATACTTATGTTATCAAATAAGTATCATTAGATTTGTAATGAAATATATTTTTATAGTATACCTATTTGATGTCACAAACGTTAATATTTTACCCATATATTTGGTCAAAATTTAGATACTTTCTTCTTTCCCTAAAAAAAATTTAGATACTTTAACAAAGAATGTGCCTAGAATTGTATTCTTTTTGAAATGGAGGTAGTACATCAAGATTTGAAATATTGAACACGATACGGATCCATGGAAAAACTATCATTAAACAGGATAAATATAATATAGAATGCATCTTATTTGGTATGGATCTGATCTGAATGCAAAACGAAAACTGCCACCATGTGCAGCATGGAAAATGGTATGTACTTCCAAAGTACGTGGGTTAGGGGTGATTAATCTCAAAGCTCAAAATGAGGTCCTTCTAATGAAATAAGTACATAAATTTTTCAATCATGGAGATTTCCTTTGGTTTTTCTTATTTGGAAAAGTTATATTATAGCAATTGGTAGCTGCCTGGATATGGTAAAAGAGGGTCCTTTTGGTGGATGGACATCATCAAATCTATTCTTCAATACTTTGGATTAGCTAAACCCTGGCCAAGAAATGTAAATCAATTTCGTTTGCTTGCATGATCACAGATCAGATCAGGTTCTTAGTTCAGCTTATCCTGAACTCCTGTAATCTGCTATTTTTTTTTAAAAAAAAAAATCTCGCTCTACAAGAGGCTAAAAAACTGTCCAGCATTCCATTCCCTCTTCCACCTCCCGTTATGTCTTGAAGCTTTTTTAGGGGGCTTTATGTTTTGAAGCTTTTGTACAACATTCCAATATCTAGCAGGCCAGCGAGATAATCTTCTTTTTATAGAAGAGCGTGATTCTTGGTCATATATTTGGGTGAATTGATAATTGCATTTACAGTTCAAGGAAGGCTTGCAAACATATGAAAGGATATATAGAGGTACATCCATTTTTCAAATGCCTCTGGAAGAGTTGCAATCAATTGAGGCACAAAGTTTTCTTCTCATTACTTTTAAAAGATAAGTTAAATATAAGGAATATTCAGTGTAGGAAAATATGTAACTCCTATAATTGTGTGCTATGCTCTGATGAGGTGGAAGAGACTCGTAACACCTCTTCCTTTTTGCTCTTTATCAAAAATTCCAAATCATGCTGGGCATGTTTTAATTAATGAGAGTCAATCAACACTCCAGATTCTAGAACCTTTTCAGCAGCAACTTTAAGTTTCTTTCTTCATGGAAATCATAGTACTGATATGCTAGAGAATTTTGACTACAAGGAATGGAAAGATCTTTAACAATCAGCAACGACTAACTTTGGCGTCATGTAGAGTTGTGTAGACTGAATTTCAATCAAGATTTCGCCATGGTTATCCATAGAGCAAAGGGTACATTTTTTTGACAAATTGTAAATTGGCTTGAATCCTTGTAATATACGTAATTAACCTCCTGTTTACTTTAATACAATTTTCAGTAAGGGGGGAGGCCCTCCTGTCCCATAAAAAAACTGAAACTTCAAATGCTTGGATGAATGACACTATATATGTGCATTAATATAGTCAAATCATGTTACAATTTTACAGTATTGGGCTTATAATCTTTTAATAAATTCATGGAGTGGTACCAGAGAAGCCACAGTGTTGGTGTAAATTTTCTTCCCGTCACCACAAATGGTGACTAATTTTCTATGTGCTGCTAGCTTGCATCCTCCCTTTTTTTGATCTGTTTTTGTTTAACGGTATTTAGTATTTGGATTATGTATATCCTATGTACTATTCAACATGCGTGTCGGCATACATCTCTGTATTGGCCAACCCTTTTCTCTGTGCCTATTATTGGATGTCTCCCGTGTCACTGTAACTGTATCGATCAGGATCAATAATCTTCTCGGTATGCTTATCAGTGGGCGTACCTTAGATGTCACTGGTTATTTTCTACTGATCGGCAGGGTCCCTGCCTTTGCCCTTTCCGTGCACAGTTAGGGCTACTCCAAGACAAGAAAGTCCTCACCACTGAAGAAATATGTGACACTACTAAAGAAATAGGGCTTTCCGGGTTTGCAACTCTCTTTTCCCAAAGCAAGGTCGTGATACCCAAAGGTACAAATCTCGGCTGAAAAAGGGAGTGAAAGTGCAAATTATATTAGCTTCGGTTTGTATTCAAACCGATTGTGATGCTCCTTTTCCCCGCAGCTCGGAAGTTGTTTTCCCTCTAGATCCACAAATTATGCTAGTTCTCCAAAATGACAGCTGGAAAACTAGTTCAATCTGTGGAACTAGAGGGAGAGATGGTCCAAAGATAGGCTCGTCACTAATTTGCAAACAAACATATATAGTAGCATCCACTTATCGATCAACACACGCTTTTACATATTTTCATGATACATTACTAGGAGACATACACTAATCCAGAAAACATTAGTGTGCTTGTGTAGTTTATGGCCCAAAGATATATAGGCTCGTTCTCGGAAGCCTCGCACTGAGAATCATGTCTCCTAGTTGTGCTTATGTAGTTGAAGATGTAGTTGTAGAAGTATGTCACTTAGTTCACTACGTAAAAAACATTTTTTAGCCACGGTTCGATTTTTTTTGTAGGGGCGGCTGGTGATGGAGCCGCCCCTACAGTGGCGTGCTCGGGTGCCCAGACACCAACTGTCCCTACAAATGGAACAGCAGGGGCGGCTGGTGTTACGAGCCGCCCCTACAAATGGGGTCGATTTGTAGGGGCGGCTCAATCACCAGACGCCCCTAGAAATTCTATTTGTAGGGGCGGCTGGTGATTGAGCCGCCCCTACAAATGGCCACGTATTTATAGCTCCGATTTGTAGGGGCGGTTCAATCACCAGCCGCCCCTCCAAATGTCCCCCATATAAAATAGATGCAACACATTCTTCCTTCTCGGGTCACTCACTCCAACCCGTGAAAGAAAGGTGGGGAGGCCTTGGGCACCGTAAAAAAATTGCTCTACTAAGGGGAGAAGGTTTTGGTCTCAAATTCTTTGGTGGAGAGGTTGTAGAAGGTAAGAAAATGTTATTCCATACTTTTTTGGAAGTTTTAATGGTTGGTTAGTGAGTAATTAGAGTTTTATTTTTCTCTCTCTTCTATGGTGCTTGAGCTACTTATGAAGCAAATTAGACCCAAGTTTTAAATGTACTAGGATAAATTAGGGAGGGGAACAAGATCATACCCATATTTGGTCCATGTTTCTTGATTTTAGTGAACAATTAGTTAGTTTTATGGATATTTCATGTGCATGTGGATCTAGATCTAGGGTTTGATTTTTTTATTAATTTCATTTTTGTAAATTTATGTTTGATGAAATTGGACTAAGGTTTGTATGAAAGATATTGGGTAAAGTGTAATTGTTGCTAATTGTTGTCTTTGAAATTGTTTATTGTAATCAATAAATATGTATTTTTATTATTTATGGATAAATGGGCCATTAATTAATTTTCCTTTACCATGGTGTGTTTGTATGCTTCATGTAATTATATTAGATTTATATTCATATATATCTGAAGTATATACAATTATTCTCAAGTAATTATTAATTTGTTTCATTTTTATATATATCTGAATTAGTAGTCCTTTAATGTTTGTTTTGTTGTTGTTGTAAAAGATGGAGTACAGGAACTCTTGGATGTATGGTTCGTTAAGGTTCAAGGCAGATTTTCATGTAGAGGTGGATAAATTTATTGAAGCCGCAAAGAAGCATGCAACAACATTGAAAGAGATTAAGGATACAATAATTTGCCCATGTAAAGATTGCAAGAACCATATGGCATGGACAGATGTGACTATCATCAGATCACATTTGATTATGCGAGGATTTGTTGAGGACTACACAGTGTGGATTCATCATGGTGAAACGGTTATTGTTAACGACGAGGATGAGGAGGAATATGACGACGAAACCATAGAATCCCTGTCCCAATATTCAGCATAGCTTGATGCACGAATGGATTTCGAGTTTGGCAATGAACAAGGTGGTGATGCTGGTGGTTGGGATGGTAACGACGAAGGTGGTGCCAATAATGATGGTGGAGCACGTGTCGGGGATGAAGATGATTTCGAGGACATGATTCGAGCCCTTGGACTAGAGATTTTACTAAATAGCCCGAAAGGTCTAGAAAATTTGGAAACGGTGACAAAAGCATCGAAGGAGACTGTGTATGGTGTTGAAAAGGGTTGTCCGACACATTGGACATTGCTATGTTTTGTGTTTGAGCTGCTCATCCTGAAGGTTAAGTATGGCTGGTCAGACTGTAGTTTCAATGATCTATTGCATCTCCTGTCATGGGTGCTGCCACAACCAAATTCAGTTCTCACCAACAC